AATTGCATCTTTCAATTTACAGTCAGAATGAAACCAGTATCGGAATGATGCTGTCAAAAGCAAAATAATTCCATAAGTCTAGATGAAGATTTAAATTAAAATTCAGACTACTCGATATATTTGATGAGACTCATACCGCACACGATTCTAATGGATACGTTAATATGAGGAGATGGGATTGATATTAGAGTTTTATTTGTGTAAAGAGGAACGATTTAATTGTTGTTGCGTATGAAAGTTTATAGACGATAAGTTGTTCTATTAGGTCGTTGACGTGCAGATGCCCGAGGGCAAGAGTAGACCTAGTCAGAACCTGGGGCTCATAGGGTCGGGGCCATCGAAGGTAAGGAATGCCTGCATAGTTTTGGAGGTCTCCAGAAAATCATTTCGAGAATATCATCAATTCGAATCGCAATTCAGTATGTTTAGTTAATGCACTCGTTCTTATATAATGCAATCATCTTAATTCACTTATTCTTCATTCTTTTGACACTCTTTCAAAGTCTTGTTAGCGATTCGTAATATAAACGGTTCCTTTGAGCCTTTCTCGTGAAGTTTGTTGTTGGAGATGTCTCGTTAGAGTATTTCATAGAACACAAATTTATTTGTTTATTAGAAAGCGTTTTGAATATTTAATTCCTCGTGAACTACTTGTTATGTAGGAGTATTTTAATCTGTTTTATTTGCAAGCTTATTTGAATGTATTGTGAATGAATTAATTCGCTATATGAAAGGAAAGAGTAAGAAAGAATGTTACTGAATTATGAATGCAAGTGCTATTATAGCAGCAGCATGCATAATGTCTATTTCTAAACGACAAACTTCAAATGTCTCTCTGTATGTGTCCAAAAAATACTCGAAAATAATGTACGTATGAATGAACAAGCAATAATTTTTATTCGAATGAATAATTTTAATCTTGTCCGCTGTCCATCAGTGCTATTAAAAAATACAGCAGCAGCAGCAGCAGCACATGCACACGATCAAAAATCAAATGTGGTGCATGCTTGGATGGATGATGATTGCTGCTACTGCTGCTGCTGAAGTATATCTTATCTCACCCCATATATCCATCCATCGAATTCGTTCGTTTGTTATTCAATATCCATCTATATTTCAAGCCCTCTATCGCAAGCAAATCAAGCAAAGTAAAACGTATCTGCAATGTGTGCACACAATATCCATCCACTCTTCAAAAGAGAGTATATGCACTAAGCTTGTGGCATATTATTTTTTATATGATGTTTTTTGTTGGTTTGCTAGTGATGCTTGACAAAGCATTCAATCATTTCATGCATCAGAATGCTGCTGAATGCTGCTTGCCTTTATGTTCACTATGTGTGCATTTCATCTACAAAGCACTCTGTCAAACCAACATGTATGTATGTACGAACTGGATGGATAAGTATAGGATAAAGAGATAGATGGATGCACGACGGATAAAGACTGGCGCTTAAGCAAAAAACAACCAACAAACTTAAATCACAGTCTCGGTGACACTTCTCTTTGCACACANACAACTCATGCCAAATTCAACTCAACTTAAAAAATGTTCACTTACATTCAAATCTGAAATGAACGCAGTGAATGTACGCACTTGTTCGAAATACACACAAATAAGTGAGTATGTTCTATAAGAATTAAGTGATTAATCAAACTAAGTAACTTGCTAAGAATTTGCTAAAACTTGCTAAGAATTAACCCTCTGCTATATATCTTCTCGTAGAGTGCCTCTTTACTTATCAAATTATCACTCAAAGATATTGTTGTCACCAAATATAAACAACAACTGATATAATCTCACCATCTTATCATAATAGACAATCATTGATTATGCGTGAATCGAAGTAATCCATCTCGCACCTTACATCCTTACTTTATCCAGATCAATTCCACTATTTTTTACTTATACATTTTTCAGTACATTCATTCCCGAACTGTTATTTTCTGGATACAAGTGAGTTCCATAAAAGGAAATTCCTGTTAAAAAGACTTATAACAAATGTGCAATCGATAAATAAATTTATATATTTTTATGTTTGAAAATAAAATACACAGATGTGAGTGAGTGTGGCCCTCCTGGGGAGTGTAGATTCAATAATTCAGTTGTACTCGATAAAACTGAATCTATTTTCGTTTATACATGTGTGATTATTTGTAAGGCTATTTCAAGACATGATTGAAGTTGTTCTGATGAGAATTGCTCAGCTGGGAGCCAGTTAGTTATATTGTGTTGTGCAATGTATTAGTGGGAAGTTTGAGATTAACAATAGAAGAACGGGAATAAATATTTATTTGTGGTTGAGTTGGGTGGAATTTAGTCGTTATTTGAATGTTTGTTGCTTGTTTTATTGATTCGAATAACCCGATCGAACTGTGAACAATCAATTATTAATCAGTGCATTCAAATTTAATCAATCCATGCATCACGCTGATCAGTGATCGTTTACCATTGAATATGCAATGTACAGATAATTTTCGTGTTCC